TCTTTCGTGGTTCCTGTCCCAGTGATGGTGCCCGTTGTGAGTGTTTCGCTTCCTCTCTTTACCTACTTTCCTCCTTACTCCTCCCTTCTAGTACATTCCCTCTCTCGTGGTTCCTGTCCCAGTGATGGTGCCCGTTGTGAGTGTTTCGCTTCCTCTCTTTACCTACTTCCTCCTTACTCCTCCCTCCTAGTACAGTCCCTCCCTCGTGGCAGGAATGAGAATTTTCCGCGGATTTCCGGGTTTTGGTTTTCATTTTGGTCATTCTTGCGATCGATGCAAAAAAAAACTAATAAAAATTTGAGGGGGGATAAGGTGTACTTTTCTTGTCAAAATGGACACCATTTTTAATTTTAACTTCATAAAAAGTCAGGAAAAGTACGTCGAATTTCACACAGAAGTGAGCGGAAGTCCAGATAAATATCGCGGGGTATCTATGTAATGTAAAGGGTTTTAGCCTATTCTCATGCGTACCGAAACTCGGTGACAATGGTTCATAGTAATTGATAATTCAATGAAACATTTCCTCCAAAAACATCTCAACCTGTTCCCATGCCTGCTCGTGCTTATTACCTCTGCCCAACAGAGAAGGTTATGTTTTCGCTCTCGCGTGCATGTGTTCGTGTGTTCGTGTGTTCGCGCGATCGATATTAGCGCGTCAGCCAGCGAGCCAGCCAGCGCAGCGAGCCAGCGAGCGCGTACATGTCAGCGAGCAGCAGCAACAAGCGGCTGCTACGAGCGAGCGAGCAGCAAGCCAGCAAGCCAGCGTGTACATGTCAGTACACTGGCGTTTATCGTGGCTTATTCGTGTGTTCGTGAGTCATATGGCGTATGTCGCTGGCGGAGGTATGCACTTTCTGTTAGTGCACTCTGTCTAGTTGCCCCTATGACGGTGCCGATTGTTTCACCTTCTTTTCATTCTTTCCTCGTGGTTTCCTATCGCCATGATAGTACCAAGAAGGATTGCTCTTCTCATCTCAGTCAGCAGGTTCTGTGTTTACATCCGGTACCGTGTCAGCTCTGACATGTTCTGTGTTTTGCAGTGCCTCAGCCTGTACTATCAGTTCTGACATGTTCTAAACTACAAGTTACTAAATTATACTGACTAGTTGGAAGTGCGATTAGATTGTGTAAAATTACTTACGTATTTCACTAAAGGATATTCATGGCGATCTAAATATATATTATAATATTTACACTACAAATTCACAGAGAACCGTATCACATGAAATCATTGAGGTACTGATGCTGACATTTTCCCTGAACGAAACATTACAGATGGCGCTCTCTGCGAAAGAGGGCGCCCATGGGTCAAGATGGCAGCCTCCAGTGACTTTCTAAATTGTCTCAACACAGTGTAATGTGTATCTCTATCACCGAGCTATGTACTGTTTAAAAGCAATCGAATGGGCCAGTTTGGTGTGTGCACCCTCATTAAGTACAGTATAGCCTAAAACACTTGTAAAATGTATGCCACAAGTAGACATATACTTCGGTGCAGCAACCGGTTGCACTGCCAGTGCCACTTCAACTTGCCAAAGCCCACTCTGGTTAGTCACCGCCGCAGTATTAATAATGAGGCTGACCGGCAGAGAAACACACCAGGTTTAGCAAAAAGAAATGCAATGTTTATTGGTGAGCATTGCGTGAACGACCAAAGTTCTGCGAACTCGAACGCGCCGGTTCTGTACCGACGGAAAGGTCAGCGCCATACTCTGGCGAGCGACTCAGAGACTACTTACGAGCGCGAGAGAAAAATTGACCCCCGGTCGGTCCACGCCGGGTACTCAGTGATACGACAGGTCCCATCATTAGGCCGGGTGATGGGATTGCGGACAGAACGATGTTTACTGATGCAGGCACGTCGATGCCAGCCGATTTTACAGACAAGACATGCGTCCACATACTTGGCATCCTTCCTGGACTCTGCTCCGGTTCATACAGCACAGAATGTGTGTGTGTTTTTACAATTGTTACCCAATAGAAAGTAGCTCTCCGTATATTACATGACTCGAAATAAGCATCATATTGAAGCCACAAATTGCTATCAACGGGCAGATTGAGCCTTCTACTATAGTATAACCTGACAAAAGAAAGTGCAATAATCTTGAAGTAATTGTTGCATTGTATGTTGAGTGTTTCATACCCGGATTTATCAAAAAGAAGTGCATTCTTGAAGTACCGTAACCGTTGCGATCTACCGGCAACGTTTCCCGGCATTGCCTATCGTCTTTGTCAGCTTGCAGTCTGCATGACGTGAGAGGGGAGTCGGCTTGCCTCCGATCGCTAACACAGGGTGGCCCACAACCTAAAATTTAAACATGTAAAACTGGGAACTTTAAAGGAATACTTTAGATTTTATGTGAAATGTGCGCGAAGCCAAGAGCGCGAAGCACGAAGTCCCTTGCGGCCGGGGTCCAGCTCCTGGAAGTTCAGGGGTTTTAGATGCTATCTGGTGCAATCTGAGCTTTATCTTGGAGCGTTTTTGCTTCTTGCTATTGATATTTCAAACCTTTCGGTGATTTTCAAACCTGTTGGCTCAAAATTCAAACTTGTCGGCCGTACATGTTAACACCCCTCGTGGACCACACTGCTAATGCTTCGCTCGCTTTAGGTGATGCAGTCGATACACGACACGTCCGGGTTGCCGTGGTGGGCGAGCATCGTCGTGACGACGTGCCTGCTGCGAAGCGCCATCACTCTGCCTCTCGCCATCTACCAGGTATGACGCCGTCGCCCCGGGGGCGTGGCACGCAGACACTCGCCTTGCCTGCAGCCCTGCATCACGGGCACTGGTCAACTCGGCCCACCCGCCATATTGACTCGCACTGTGGCGAGTTTACCCGCCTGCAGGTCGGTCAGCTCGGCTCGTGGGTCGAGATGACCCGCCTGGAGATCGGGCAGCTCGACTCACGGTCTAACTCATTTAAGATGTTTTACACATTTCGACATCAAAATGTGTGGTATTTTTGTGGGAATAACCTTTTATTATGCGTAGAGTATAATTTTGTCACACATGATCAATCGCAATTTTCAATCTCACATGAGTTAACCAGTGAGTCGAGCTGCCCGATCTCTAGGGCCAATGGCCAATTTGACACACTTTGGTATATAGTGCTATGATGTTGCTTGTCAAATTCAGGCGCACATTCTGGCAAAAGTCGAAGGGCTGCAACCAGAGATCAAGACCATAGCTGAAGGTCTGAAGAAAGAGGTGTCTGTAGCAAAGAAGATGTATAAATGGGGTGAAAAGACAACGAGGCTTCAATTCAAGATAAATGTGAGTGACTGAGAATGATGATGACCGAGTTTCTACCATTGCAAGCTGACCGAGCATTGCTGCTGGGTTGCATTAACAGTTGCTGCTGACTGCATTAACAGTTGCTGCTGACTGCATTAACAGTTGCTGCTGGGTTGCATTAACAAGTTGCTGCTGACTGCATTAAACAGTTGCTGCTGGGCCTTGCATTAACCAGTTGCTGCTGGGTTGGCATTAACAGTTGCTGCTGGTTGCCATTAACAGTTGCTGCTGGGTTGCATTAACAGATTGGCGCTGGGGTTGCATTAACAGTTGCGCTGGGTTTGCAATTTAACAGTTGCTGCTGATTGCAATTACACAGTTGGCTGCTGACCTGCATATAAACAGTTGCTGCGGGTTTGCATTAACGGCTTGCTGCGTGCTTTGTTGACAGTGCTGCTGATTTGGTTGACAGTTGTCGTAGTGTTTTTGTTGACACTTTCTTGCGAGTTGCATTGACAGTGGTGCTGGCAGGTTGCAAATTATAGTTGCTGTCGGGGGTTGCGTTGACAGTCTCAGATGTTTTTGTGACCAGATTCGCCGGCGGCCACGTCGGACAGCTGTACGTGAGAGACAACTGAGGCCCACCCCGCGAAAGTAGCGAACGCTGCTCCATTGGTGCAGCTGCCGATGTGGTTCTCCCCTCCATCGTTCGCTCCTGTCGAGCATGAGCGGTGCCTTTCTCGAACGTCGTCGCACCCGGTGCGTTGCCCGCGACGCGCGATCTCGATGCGCGAGTATCGGTAGTTATCCGTGACGGCTGTATCGTGATACGTATCATATCGTGAGCTGTCCGCATCGTCCCCCCCCCCCGGCAGCGTGGATTAGTGAATGACTAACAGATCTCTCTCCTCTCTGCTCTCTCTCATTCTCTCTCTCTCTCTCGTAGCTCTCTCTCCCTCCCCCCCTCTCTCTCTCTCTCTCTCTCTCTCTCTCTCCTCTCATCTCTCTCTCTCTCAAGTGTGCGCTACATCGTGCTCTGCGCGATGTGCTTTTAAATGCGTGTCACGCCATGTTTTCTGCGCAATATAACTTTAAGCGCGCGTCACACCGTATTCTGCGTGATGTGACGTCGAATGTCATTATGTGTTTTTTCACTGCATTCCGCGTAACATGAATTTGAATGTGTGCCACTCCGTGTTCC